GCAAAGAACCTTTGACCATGAGTCCATCAGAAAGTGGTCAGTACACAGCATTCTTGAGACCCTGAGGGGAATGGAGAGGGTGGATCCTGTCGCACGGTTCCCTGAGCAGACTGTCAAAGTCATTTAGCAGAATGCCTCATCACCAGAACTTTCCAACAAGCACCAACACATCACTTGGCTGGTGTTTGGACAGGTACTACCTGTGAGATCCATCGTGTATGCCCAGTCGGTCTGCGCCACTGCATGCTGCCCTCGAAGCGGCTGCGAGGGGTTGAGACTGTCACACATCTCCTCTGGAATGTGCTTTTGCAAAGGGCGTCCAGAGAAAGATGCAGAGGTTTTTAATCGAGGTTCCTCATAAGCAATTCCGTGATGCAGGACTCTGTGTTCTGTGGTCTGTTCCCCAGGACGCACACGAGACTAACACTGACGGCACCTGGAGGACCAACAACTCGATGAAAGATACCTTTCGGTCTGCTCAAAAGTTGGGGCGGCTGCCGCCAAGGTGCAGGAGGTAAGACCACTGTCTGAGGTCTTTCTGCCGAAGTTAATAAGGGTTCCGTTCATTTATCGGACTCTCCCTATTGCCTCAATTGCATATAAATATCGTTATGCACCAGAGCAGAACCCATCAAAATATTTTAAGATAGCCTGGACCATAACTTTTTCTTATTTGAAAGGCAAATATAAAGTGCCAGATGCAATGTGACTGTTGAGCAATGTTAAGCAAAACACAATTTATTTGAACATTACAGTTAAAATACAATCAAAGAAAGAGCAATTTAGAAGAACAACACTATTGAAAAACTTAACAGCACAATAGATACTGTAACTACTGTACAGAACTGAACGGTTTCTGACTATATGAACTAAGCATAATTTTTAAATTAAAAAAAACAGCCTAAGGACTTACCAATTTGAGCTCAGCTCAACCGGTGTTCTTCCAGGTTCTGCTCACAATCACAATCCAGCGATGGTCTCAAGACTTTCTAATACTGAAGGTTCTCAGCTCAGAGTCTGAATCAAGGTGTCCCTCCTGCCAGGTTAAGTATTGTTCTCTGCCTTTTCTTTCTCATGTCACTTTTGACTCTTTTACCAACCACATTCAATCTGTGTCCTCTCATTCTCCTATTTCTTATTGTGTTTGGTCACATGGGATTATTTGAAAAATCCTGGAATGATGCTACCCCTGTTGCCCTGGACAGCATCTCCCACTCTTTCATTGCTAACAATGAACAGATGACCCAGCGACATTGAGGACCAGCGATTATGAACACAAGCCACAAGCCACTGGATGATAATGTGGATAGAAATGATGTGCAGAGAGATGGTGAACAGGCAGGAGATTGGCACTAGGTGATAGATCCAAAGCAGGAATGATGGGCTGAATGGCTTCCTTCAGCACCGTAACAATTCTGTGATTCTATGTCACCACTGGTTCTTCTGCTAGTGACCTTCAATCTAATCCTTAGTCCAGAAGAGCCTAAGGTGTAGGAGCAGAAGTAGGCCATTCAGCCCATCAGGTCTGCTCGCCCATTGGATATTTGACTGATATGTTTCTCAGCTCAATTTTCCTGCCTTCTCCTCTTAACCGTTAATCCCCTGACTAATCAAGAACCAATCTATCTCTCTCGAAGACACTCAATGACTTGGCTTCCACAGGATTCTGTGGCAATAAATTACAGTTTCACCACCCTCTGGCTGAAGAAATCCTCCTTATCTCAGTTCTAAAGGATCATCCCTTCAGTCTGAGACTGTGCCCTTGGATCCCAGACTCCCCTACCAATGGAAACATCCTCTCCATGTCCATTCTATACAGGCCTCTCAGTATTCTGCATCTTTCAATGAGATCACCCCCTCACCCTTCATCAACTACCCAAAGTCCTCACCCGCTCCTGAATGACACGCCCTTCATTCCTAGGATCATTCCTGTGATCCAACTGAATTCAACCTTCAACACCAGCACATCCTTTCCAACTTGATTTCCAACTTGAAGTGACATGTAGCAACGCCGAGGTGCATGCATCTCAATTCAAAAATGTAACATTTTTGCCATGAAAATGGCACGAAAATGGATCCAACAAAGGCAAATCTTGCTTATAACACTACATTTACATATATTTCAGGCATCAGGAGGGTTCAATAACTGAACGGACCCTCATTGACCTTCAGCTGAAAGCAATCAGACAGTGGTCTTCCCCACTGCGCCTTAGCGGCAGTTGCCCCAAGCCTTGGAGCATCACTCAGCATGTATCCTGGACCTTGCCGTGTGCATCACTCTGTTGTGGTCAACTCCTTGCTCTAGAAGACCAACAAGTTTCGGGCAGACCAGATAACGAAAGGTCCCGTGCGGTCATAACGGGGTCACAGTGAGAAGAAACATAAGGGAATTTACTTGCGGAGAGATAGTTGGAACTGCCGATGCTGGAGAATCTGAGATAACAAGGTGTAGAGCTGGATGAACGCAGCAGGCCAAGCAGTATCAGAGGAGCAGGAAAGCTGACGTTTCGGGTCTGGACCCTTCTTCTTCAGTTATTTTGTAAACAATTGAAAGAAAAATCTGATCCTCCAGTATGCTAAACTTTTTAGATTATTCTAATTTAGAAACAAAACCAACAAATTAGTGAGAAAAAGTTCGTTGAATTCCATGACAAATGCTTGTTCATGGTAAAAGAAGCTCATGGCATCATTAGGTATGATAAAGCAATAACTGATGGAAACACGACCTCTAGAAGACCACCAGCACAGGAAGGTCACAAAGGAACTTTATACATAGGGAGTTCAGGACAGGGGACAGGTAAACAATTGGAGCTTAAGTGAAGATGTGGATAATTTGAACAAATTCTTACATCCAAAGATCAAGGGAAGACTGCCAGAAGTCTTCAAAGATATCTCAAAAGCAGACGATTGAGGTGTCTGGTAGCCATCACGAGATTATGGGAGGACCTAAGGTTTTCCTTCGAGTTATTCATTATTGATTGTAGTTGCTGGATTGGATGTGTAGATAAGGGGGATGTGGCTACCAGTGACATCAATGGTTCATATAATTTGTTTGACGCAAGAAGTATAAAAAATGTTGTATTCAGCTGGGAAACGTACAGTGCCATTGACCAATCCTCTGAACTGAGCTATGGTTAAGAGGGCAACTGGGCCCCACATGAAAACCAGATTTGAGCAGTCTCTGGCCTCTCCTACATGTGATAAAACAGCTCTGAATGAAGGTCGTTTTCAACTGTTGAACACACAGCTCAAGACTCCTCTTTGATATTTCTCCCTAATACAATCATTATGATTGACACATTTTGTCCAGGGATTCCTCAGGGTAGTCTCCTAGGCTGGGACATCTACAGCTGCCTCATCAATGACCTTCCCTCCATCAGAAGGTCAGAAGTGGGAATATTCACTGATGATTGCACAATGTTCAACACCATCATGTTTCCTCAGATACTGAATTAGTCCATGTCTAATGAAGCAAGAACTTGACAATATCCAGGCATGGACTGTCAACTGGCAAGTAACATTCATGCCACACAAATGTCAGGCAATGACAACCTACAATAAGAGACCATCTTACCATCTCCCCACGACATTCAATGGCATTGCCATCAAGGAATTTACCACTATCAACATTTTGGGAGTTACCATTGACCACAAACTGAACTGAACTACCATAAAAATACAGTGGCTACAAGAAAAAGTCAAAGGCTTGGAATCCTACAGCGAGTAACTCACCTTCACCAAAGCTTGAAAACCAGCTGTAAGGCACAGGTCAGAAATGTGACTGATTACTCCCCATTTGCCTGATTGAAGGCAGCTCAAAACACTCAAAATTTGACAGAATCTATGAAGAAGCAGTCTACTCCCTTGACCACCAGTGTGTACCATTTACAAGATGTACTGCAGAAATTCATCAAAGCTCCAAACGCAGCTCCTCGCAAAACACAAACCAATTCCATCTAGAAGGACAAGGGCAGCAGATACATGGGAACTCCACCAGCTGCAAGTTACCCCCAAGCTATTCATCATTCAGACTTGAAAATATATCACCAATCCTTCAGTGTCACTGGGTCAAAATCCTGGGACACCCCACCAACTAGCTGCCTGTTGATCTACCCACAGCACCTTCTCAAGGAGAACTAGGGATGGCAAATGAATGCTGGCACAGCCAGCGGCACCCACATTCCAGGAATAACTTTAAAAATATTGACGAAACTGGAACTAGACCACAGAGGGTGCCACAACAAGGAATGCCAGAACAGGGAGATATAACCTGTACTCTAGATTATAACTTTGTTAACAAACATAATTTGAAAGGCCGTGGGGGATGGGTGGAATGTGGAGATGGGGCCATTGAATTTTAAAGCAGAGATGGAGAAATTCTTGTTAGGCATGGGATTCAAGGGTTATCAGGGATAGATGGGATTAACATCTTATCAAAGAGAAAATTAAACAGGTTTAGACCTAAACCCAATACCATAATGTTGCGAGAAGACGTTTCTCAAACAGCCCAAGTGTGTGTTTCATTCCCCGATCTCCCAGGTTTTCCCTGCAGCACTGTCCATGAGATTTACTCCAATTCCTGGACACTCCCTGACAATCCTGGACATTTGGTAAACCCCCGCCTTACAGCTCATACCCGCTCACACACCCCCCCCCCAAACCCCCTCTCACTCCGGGATCCAGACCCGGCCCCCAGTACATCCCACTCCATCCACACTCCCATCCTTTCCCCCGGGGTGGGGTGGGGGTGGATCCTCGGGAGATCCCGCTGGAAATTGCCGCCTCATTCCCGAACCTTCTTCCCCGGACTCGCTCCTTCCAGAACACTCTCGGGCTCTCGGCGTCTCGCGGACCCGCCGCGCTCTCATTGGCCGCCGCTTCAGAATCTTCCACAACATTCCGACCGTGACATCACCGCTGCGCTCCCTCATTGGTCCGCGCCGCCGTCAATCAACAGCTCGCTGCCGCCCACACACGCTACATAAAGGGCCGCAGCTCAGCCGGAACGTCACAATCACAATCGTCAGGTTCGATTGGACACCGCGTGCCAGCTCCGTCGCAAGGAAAGGAGACAATCCACAACAGAGGAGAAGACTCAGTTGTACACACTCCCATCAACATGTCTCCTGCAGCTCAAGGAACAGCCATTGGTATTGACCTTGGCACCACCTACTCCTGTGTCGGGGTCTTCCAGCATAGCAAGGTGGAGATCATCGCCAATGACCAGGGCAACCGCACCACCCCCAGCTACGTGGCCTTCAATGACACTGAGAGGCTCATCGGAGATGCTGCCAAGAACCAGGTAGCCCTGAACCCGCAGAATACCATCTTTGATGCCAAGAGGCTCATTGGGAGGAAGTTTGATGACCCAGTCGTGCAGTCTGATGTGAAGCACTGGCCCTTCCAGGTGGTGAATGAAGGAGGGAAGCCCAAGGTCAGGGTCGAGTACAAGGGTGAGAATAAAGCCTTTTACCCTGAGGAAATCTCTTCCATGGTGCTGACCAAGATGAAGGAGACAGCAGAGGCTTACCTGGGACAGCCTGTCAGTAATGCTGTTATCACGGTGCCTGCTTACTTCAATGATTCCCAGCGCCAGGCAACCAAAGACGCTGGTGTGATCGCTGGCCTCAATGTCCTCCGTGTTATCAATGAGCCAACGGCAGCTGCCATTGCCTACGGCCTGGACAAGAAGGGCAGAGGAGAACACAACGTTCTCATCTTTGACCTGGGGGGTGGCACCTTCGATGTGTCTATTCTCTCCATTGACGATGGTATCTTTGAAGTGAAATCGACGGCGGGTGACACCCACTTGGGAGGAGAGGACTTTGATAACCGCATGGTCAGTCATTTCATTGAGGAGTTCAAGCGTAAAAACAAGAAGGACATCAGTCAGAACAAGAGAGCAGTGAGGAGGCTGAGGACAGCCTGTGAAAGAGCCAAGAGAACCCTGTCTTCCAGCACACAAGCCAGCATTGAGATTGACTCCCTGTTTGAAGGCATTGACTTCTACACCTCCATCACCAGGGCTCGATTTGAGGAGCTGAATGCTGACCTTTTCAGAGGCACTCTGGAACCAGTGGAGAAAGCTCTGAGAGATGCCAAGTTGGACAAGTCACAGATCCATGA